CCATCTGGACCGTCTAAGTTAAACTTCTTTTCGTCAGAAAAAATTACTTTTTGCCAATGTGTCACCCAGTTCATATGCTTCCTGGCAAACTGGAGCCTATCCTCTTTATGGCGGTCTTTCAAACATGGTTTTTCCTTCAAACATTTTCTTTTAATAGTAGGTACCTTTTTTAAATATCTCTGTACAGTTCGTATACTATTATTTGATGCGATACGCAAAACCGACCTTTTATCTCTTGGCGACAAGGCCTCTTTAGTTCTACCTTTGTATAATTTGCCGTAATTTTCACTATTTTTCAAGTATAAACGTTTAACACCTTCAACTTTTCCAATTTCTGTGCTGTTTAACTGTTTTGCACGACCCATTATCGCGTGAATGCAAAATAACTTCGTATTCGATACGTCGGTGGCTAAGTAAACAATTTAAGACAGAAGAAACTCGAAAAACAGTACGGATATAACGAAGAAACGAACCGCGTTTATTCAAATGTCGCAAGAGTATTCTTACTTTTTCTTAAAAATGCGAGTATTTTTTATAATGAATAAATAATTTCTCATAGTACAGGTGTATACTTTCATTAAATAAGACCTATCATATTGGAAAAGTAAAATTTATTAATTTGAACTTCACTAAACAAAAGCACAGTGAAAATATCACTGCGTTTAATCAAGTGTCGCGGACTGTATATGCTGACAAATAATTTTAGTTTTAATTAAGTAAAACATTATGTATGTATTTTATATGAATTATTATGAAAGTTTGTTTCACAATTTCCCGATTTTTACATGGATCCAAGTCGCGCATATGGTAACGGTCGATTTGGATCCGAGGCGTCTGCAGTGAACGTGTTAAACAAACTAGAAATCGATAATAGGGTTCAACGTTGAAATTACTATTGTAAAAGAAAACGATGTTTCGGAATTGTCTAACAAAGAGTAGGCTGTGTATATTATACAATTCACACTGACAATCACAAACTGTGGATGCTTCATATTGAGCAGATATTAAAAACTGGGAATGTTCCAAAATAACCTGAAAATCTTGAAGATATTATGAAATTACGCACCATTAGAACAGCTAAAAAATACTAACAGTCACTGTAAGCATAGATGACGTAGATATAATGATATACACGTGTGTAATATATATGTATGTTCACATACTTTTAAACTGTAAGAATTGTAGGATTATTTCTGGCGTTTTGAAACTTAAAATGTTCAACTTGTTTACATCTTGATACTCTCTCTCTGCGCGTAGCTAGCAATATCTTTGCTTATTTATGTTGAAATTTTCGAGAAGGTAATGTGAACAAATTTGTGAGTGACATTATTCAAATTGAGAAAAAAAAATACTTTAGAAGGTTACCAGGCGAGAAGGTTCAATCTGATTGAACCTTTAATAGAATTTACACATTTTATTATTCTGATTTATAAAGCACAGAATTCGGGACAGTTTTGGAAAATTTAAAGAAAAAAAATTTGCAAAAACAGAAAAATCTTGTAGTTTAAATGTTCCAAGAAACCGATTAGAATCGAAGAAGAAGCTCGTGGAAACTACAAAACGGAAGATTTATTTTGGAAAAGTCGAAAACACTGTGCAAGTACAACACTATACTCTGTTCAAAATGAGAGTAACCTCGCTTCGCGCATAGAACGTGCTTAAGGGAGGGCTAGAACGTCCAAACCCCCACTTAACCGCCTACGTTTTTCTCCGTCTTACCCTCTGCTACGCTCTCTGTCTATGCGCAGAACGGACGAGAATCGGCCCGAGAGCGAGGTTACTCTCATTTTGAACGATGTATAAGAGCTATCGATGATTTAAATACGAGCACAGAAATGACTCGGCGAGTGTAAAAAAAAACCAGGCATGAAAGATTGGAACAAAGTAAAGAAACCGCTAGAACGTCCAAACCCCCACTTAACCGCCTACGTTTTTCTCCGTCTTACCCTCTGCTACGCTCTCTGTCTATGCGCAGAACGGACGAGAATCGGCCCGAGAGCGAGGTTACTCTCATTTTGAACGATGTATAAGAGCTATCGATGATTTAAATACGAGCTCAGAAATGACTCGGCGAGTGTAAAAAAAAACCAGGCATGAAAGATTGGAACAAAGTAAAGAAACCACTACACCCAGAAGAACACATGGCCATGCGAATAGAATTTGAAAAAAAAAAGAAATATATAAAAATTGGAGTGAAGAATTTTGGGTAAACATTATTTCATCCGACGAAACTAAAATAAATTGACTTGGATCGGATGGCAAAAAAATGGGTTTTGAAAGGAGCAAATGAAAAATTACGAAACGAGGGAAGGAGCGAGTGTCTTCACAGGGGGTCTGCGAAAGCTTGAAGAAGTGGCTGAGAAAAAGCACGATATTTACTGTTACCACACATACAGCCAGAAGCCGCCTGTTGGCTTCCACACAGTTCGCGAAGCCCATTATTTAGCAAATAAGAGCAAGATGCTTATTCACCAACCAAAAATTTATTTATAACGATAATAATCAAAATATGCACCATAAAGTTCGAACTGCCTGACTAAGCACAAAGTTCAAAGTTCACAAGTTATGTACAGCGTCCAAAGTTTCATACGCTTACACAGAGTCTTTAAAGTCCTTTCAAAAAATATTTTTGATAATTATTGGGAATAGGGTCCTCAGCACCTATTTCAATGACCTTGAAATATGTTGTCAAGGTCAACACTCTACACAACTTTTCACTATACCTGTTACCGCCGCATTTCTTTAGTTTTTAAGATACACGCAAAAATATTTTCAACGTTGGGAATCATACTCTGTAGGTTTGGAGTATGTTTACGTCGAGCTCAGTACGTGTTTACGTTACGTTCGGCTTTATTTCTCTTAGCACTTAGTATCCTTACTGCAGAACAACGTGAAATTAAGAAAAATAAATTTCAGCCGTTAATTCGGTCGTCCACAAGTGGGCGACAGTCAACGTTCATTATTAGTTGACCATTAAAGGGTTTATTTGACCCATCGCAACGTGGCCATTAACTGATCATTAACGAACGCGTCGAACAAACAAATAAAGCAAAATACTTGGCACATTTACCTAGTGCTTTAAGTTTGGCGAAGTTTAAAACTCAACATCTTCCTGCTTGAGTGGCCGACCGCCATGCTAAAATTCAATATCACTGAAATCGCTTAAGTTTGACCTATAAGTTCATATATACACTACCAGTCAAAAGTTTGGAATCACCGAACATTGCAATTTACACAAAAATTTCCAGAAAAAAGACAGCGACTTTGAGAATTTTTTTATCGCTCGAATCAATTGTTACACTTAAAAATCGTAGAATAATTCTCGACGTTACCTTTTTGCATAAATTAATAAATAATAATATTGATTGTACATCATTATTGGGATCTGTAAATTTATACGCACCATCTAGACATTTAAGAAGTAGAGCGACTTTTCACATTCCAACGCACAAATCGAAATACAGTAAGTCTGACCCGTTAAATCGCATTTCTGCTTTATACAATTCCCTTATGCACGGAGTAGACCTTTTTAATGTATCACTAGCCACCCTCGAAAGGAATCTTCAACAAGTCCTTAGAATGGCTCAAGTATAACAGACGTGAATAATTGATAAATGTAGAATTGAGATAAACTTCAAATCTATAAAGAAATTAGCAGCAGATTTAATATTGATGAAAAGTGGGAGGTGATTCCAAACTTTTGGCCGGTACTGTATACAGGGTGTCCCGTAACTCCTCGAACACCCGGAAATGGCGGGTTGCTGGAGTAACTCTGAACAACTGTTTCCTTTACCAAAATGTTGTTTGAAGCTTCATTTTTGAATTATTAACGAGAAACACTGGCCAATCGGAGCGCGCGTAGAGCCCGCGCTCAGGGACCACTTACCACTGTTTGTCAACGTAAAAGTATGAGCAGAAACAACAGTGTTAAGGCGTGTCCTGTAGCCGGATTTATGGCAGCGAGTCAAGTGGTCGCCGTCGCAGGCAAATATCGTTTTCTCAAAACACCACAAGTGTTTATTGCGTTGCCCGCGACACTTAGTCCCTAGGACCAGACCCTGCCATAAACCCTGGAGTCTCCGAAGGGAGAATAGAAAAGTGGCCCACGACTTTTGCCAACGTCGATGGCCCACTTGACTTTAACAAAGCCTAGAAAAGCGGAGATTCCGCAGGATTCCCACGCATCCGTCCACCGAACACTTTGTCCGGTCGTTGTTTACCCCACCCTAAGATAACGCGCTAAGGGCGAAATGGAGGGAGGTTGCGATGCACCAGAGTAAACTGATTGGTGATTTAGAAAAGGAAAAGTCACCACAAGTGTTTATTGCGTTGCCTGCGACACTTAGTCCCTAGGACCAGACTCTGCCATAAACCCTGGAGTCTCCGAAGGGAGAATAGCAATCAGGGTGTTTTTAGGAAAATAGGAGTCTTCGTCGAGGGAAACCGCAGAGACTCCAGGAGAGACACTTGGCCACTCGCGAGAGAAACACCTCTCACTTTGCAATAGAATTTATATCTTGAATTAGTTGTAGAAAATAGAACATAAAATAAAAACTTAGTGTTTCAATCAAGAAACTGGTCCTTCGTAGGCTTAGAACATTAGTCGGCACACACGTGCAAAAACCGGCAACGCTTGAACGATCGAAAGATCATCCGCAAGCCCTAACAAACAGTTTGTAGCGAATATTTAAATTCAATTTTCTCGGAAACAAAGCCTGGTATGAATAAATTTTGTTCTATATTTTCGATTTAGTTTCTTATGTAGAATCATCGTTTATTCGCTTGTACCACCAGTTACACGAC